TAACCGCACGCATTGTTATCAATGTTCAAAGGGTCTGGAAACAAGTAAAAAGTTGTCCCGGGGAGGTGAGTTATCCCCACCAGAGCGTTTACAAGGCAGCCAGGGTTACCCTAGCACTAGGGTAACCCTAGCTGAGCGCTAGGGTTACCCTAGCGCTAGGGTAACCCTAGCTGCCTTGTAAACACGTCGATGAAAAAAAGAAGAAATGTGGGAGCGTTAGGGTAACCCTCGTGCCAGGGTAACCCTAGCACTAGGGTCGTGACCCTACCTGCTTGTCAACAGGGCTTAAAAGTTTGTTTACATTGTCTATAACTCCAGTGTTCAACAAGAAATCACTGTGATAGCTCGCAGTATTACAAAATTCTAGGAAAATAAAAAGGGCAGCGCTACTAGGAGTCTCCTTTGCAGCGCGCTGTTTTGCTTCGTCACACAACAAACTCCCTCCCCAACATCACGGGCAAAGAGCCAAAAAAAAAAAACGGTTTGAGTTATAAGTGGTCAGCGGTGAAATGACTTTGAAACAAAAAAAGAAGATTGCGTTGCGTGACGAGACCAAAGAACGTTATGCAACTAGCTAAAAAAAACTAACATTTAGTGAATGTTTTCCGTTTTGGGTAAAATAGCCTGCGTTCTGTCACACTAACTGTCTAATTCAGTAACTTTAGTGTGTGATTTCAGACGTTCGACCAGTTTTGCACCCTTTGCGACCGAATTTGAATGGCTACAGGATGGCCTACGTGTAACCTCCCTTCTCCCTTGAGGATAAACTTCTTGGCGGGGGGAGGGTATGGCTACACGTGCGGTTGGTACAAAGGCAAAAAACATTACACATCAGTCCACTGAAACTTCGTTTAATTGAATTTATTGAGAATTATAATATAATATATATAATCATATATAATTGTTCAAAAAAATCGTAGTTTTCTTTAGATCTCAAACGTTCATCTCTAACTTCAAAGTTATTCTTCCTGTGAACACAATCTTCTCATTTCCCATTGCTATTCAATATGTTAATTACAAAAGATATTAGACTTAGGGCCTGATTACATGAGCCGAGCTGGCCCGGTTAGCCAAAAAAAATTCTTTTGTTTTCACGCTTTGGCGAACACCAAAACAAAAGAAATCAGAAAAAAAAACAGGGCCAGCCCGGCTCATGTAATCAGGCCCTTAGTATTCTCTCGGAAAAAAACTAAATACCGTGCTAGTTTTGTGACACTTAGCTAAGTTTGTGACGTGAGGACTGTAGCAAGAAGTCCCCCTGATGATGCCCTAGTCAGTATCGAAAACGTTAAGTTTTTACTTTTTAGATACATTTTTGCTTTTTAAATTGCTCAAAAACTTTTAACTAAAAAAAGTCCTCAGTCCACAATCAACAGTCCACGATCCACAGCCCACGATCCACAAAAAAAGATCCACAGTCCACGATCCACAGTCCACGATCCACAGCCCACACTCGGAAAAAAATCTGGAAGCGAAAAGACTCTTTTCCGGAGAGAATATCGGAGATCGGTCAAAAAAAATCATTCACCAAAGCTGTTAAAGTTGTCTAAACCACAACACTAAGCTAAGCCAGGACCCTACAGAGGACACTCTCATTTCTTTCCTACGTGTCCTTTGCTAGCTGGTAGAACGCTATCTTTCATATCCTAAAGAGCTGTCTTCAATGCTTTTTTAATCCAAATCTGACGGATTTATACAAGTTCGTGAATGTGCATGTTACTTTCCCTTTATTTTTTAATGCTCCAAAAATCGTCTTCCCATGGTTTATTGTGAGGGTTCTTCTACTCAAAAAAAAAGCCCTTCCCAGTCTACACTCACGTCATAGAAGGCGACAGTCTCGTCAAAAAAATGAAAGACGTTTATCACAAAATAATCATTAAAAAAAAAAAAACCCAGAAAAAAAAGATTGAAACTTAAAAATTGCTTCAGATGATCTCCTTCACAATTTAACAAAAAAAAGACGCCATAGCGCGTACTATTGAGTTATGGATGCACGCGGGAGGTTGCAAAAAAAGAAAGAAGCGTAAGAGTCGCAGGAGGCGATAGCCGAGTGCCACTCTAGAAAAAAAAGTGCTTAGCAACCCTCCCAAGTGCATCCATAACTCAATTGTGCAAGCAAAAAAATTCACCATTTGTTTTACAACATAACATTGAGACATTGAAAGAACAGAAAAAAAAATATTGAGCTACATCGCAAAAAAATGTTCGTGTAGTCTTACATGACAAGAAAAAAAAAGCGTGCGAAAATTCATTCATAACAACCGACTGCACACCAGCAACTCAAAAAAATTTAATCACGCTTCCTGAAATACCGACCAAAATCCTCGTTATAAGCTCTGTATCCAACAACCGGTGAAAGAGTTCACCAGGACTATGAACAAGCTGTGGTGTTTACCATTTGTTTTATAACATAACATTGATACAGTGTAACAAGAGTTCCCTTTTATAAAAAAATATTGAATTCGGTTTTTGTGATATCCAGAATAATCAAGGTCGAGGTAAGTGTTATCAGCCGAAGCCGAAGGCTTAGGCTGATAACACTAACCTCGACCTTGATTATTCCGGATATCACAAAAACCGAATTCAAT